TCGGGCCTAACCTAAAACCCAAAATCCAACCACTCTAAGAATAAAATTGTGCTTGTTATTTGGAAAAAGTTAAGCTGGCAAGTTCTGAGATGGGGTAACGTGGTAACAGGAGGCTGGGAATATTGTTCTTCCTATTCCACACTCAACTCACTCTGCTTTCCAATTTTCTTTTTGTCCTTAATAACCCAATAGGCAACAGCATTCACAGCCCAAGACTCTATCACTGTTTCAAATAAATTCATAAATCTAACGGAGGTGGAATATTGAAAAAAATTCCATTTGTACTTTCTAGCATGATAATACCTGGTATAAGATTTTAAAAGATAGTTTACATATATTGCGTCAGTTATTGTCTTGAAGCTACCAAAAATATTAACTAGTACAAACTTGTTAGTAGTGTAAATTTCAGTCTTACTTTGAATGATTTTTTTATTATACATTTATTAGGGCAGTTATTTTTATAATAACAATAACTATCATTTATTTGGCCAAGTGCCTCAGTTCTATATCTGTTCATATATAGTACAGCTGTCATTAATCAAAATACAATTGTTCAAGTCTTTTGAGGGCAGGTTATCCTATAAAATGTGACTGAATAAGTTAGGACTTTTTAGCCACTTCCTGTCACTTTTGTAGTCACCCACTGTTCCCTAGGGATGGAGGGTGAGCTTTTTCATCAATTGAGAATAAACTCTTTTGGCAATTTTAGCAGTGATGTTCCAAAGTATGAAGCCTGCACAGACATATAAGAGCCAGCTTCCTCCCATTCATTATCATTCACATCAAAACACTCCACACTAGCTGCATACAACTTCTCATCTTCTCCTCCAAACAAGTAGACTTTGTTGTCTATACTTACAATACCATGAGCAGCACGAGGCCGAAGTGGACTAGACACCAGGCTCCATTGATTTGTTCTTGGTTCAAACATTTCACATGAAGGCTCTATGGTTTTAACTGTCATGTCACCAAATCCGCCAACTACGACTATTTTGTCACCCACTGTTGCAGCAGCAGCAAACCTTCGGACTTTACACATACTTGAAATCTTTGTCCATTGGTCACTTACTGGATTATAACACTCCACGCTGTTTTGACAAACAGTGCCATCATGACCAGCAATTGCATAGATACACTCTTGCAGCACAACAGAACTATGACCAGCACGGCGGGTTTCCATTGATGCTCTTGGTCTCCATTTATCATGAATTGGATTGTATATTTGAACATCTTGCCAAGAACCCTCTCCACCAATCACATACAACTCTTCATGAAAGCATGTGACTGAACAGCCTTTTAGCTTTAACATTGTGCCACGGGAGCTCCATTTGTTTTGTTTTGGGTTGAAACAACACATTGGGGTTGAGTTGGCCCCTCCCATTATATACAGTACTCCACCACACACTGCAGCACCATGATGACTGTGAGGGTATGGCATCATGGGTAGGGACACCCATGATAGGGTGGAGGGCACAAAGCACTGGGTGTTCTTCTTGAGACCAGATTCGCCAATTCCACCAGTGAGCACCACCACATGTTCGTATTTGTCTAAAGACAAACGAGGTTTAAGTGACATGTCTTGGAAACGGTCTGGGAACAGAAAGAAGTCTAGTGCATTGATTACAATCCTTGTACAGGTGAGGTTTTTACTGACCAACTCTTCATCGAGAATTTTTCGTAGACTGTACTTCGACATTGAAAACAGTCTCATACATTTCAATAGTTCAGGAAGTAAACATTCCCTTGACGGCAGTTCATGCTTCACCCAAGCTATCACTGCTTGGTATACTTCCTCTTCATCTGACACGTTTATCTCGTCCTTGCAAATCAGTCCTTTGACGTTCTCTGCATGAAGCGTTTTAAAGTCCTCGGATTTTGCGACGGCTACAAAATTTTCAAATTGAAAAGCGACTGCAGCTTGCTTCAGTGTCTCGCAGTTATACTGAGAAGCAAGTGATTCTAAAGCCAAGCAATTCGAAGCATTCAGCGAACTCTCCAGGAAATTTGACGCTTTCGATTTCAAACTTGGTATGATCAAGTAGTCCGCGATCATCAACAAACCTTGTGCATTGGAAGAGTGGATGCTTGCTTCACCAGTGTAAATGAAGTTAAGAACATCGGCAATCGTCTTCGATTCTGCCTCCTGCAACTCTACGAGATTGCTTTCATTTTCTTGCAATCGACTGGTAAACTTAGCCCGGAAGTAAGGACTTGCAGCAGATAAAACACATTTATGAGCAGGGAAGTCCTGTCCCTGAGCTCGAATAGTCGTATCACAGAGAATGTTCGTTTCTCTAAACTCGTTAAGTTTGTGGAGCAGCTCGTCTTTGAAACCCTCGTAAATAAACTCGGACGCTTTCTCTCGCACTTTCCTGGCCGTGTTCTCCATCATTATGTCACGCAATTTCTTACCTCGTTTTCAAGAGAACTGTGGTTGTTCGCGAGCATTCACGTCCCCAGAG